AGTTACCATCAAGGAGCCTGTTGGTGTTTGTGGGCTCATCACGCCATGGAACTTTCCCGCGGCTATGATCACAAGGAAGATCGGTCCTGCCCTGGCGGCTGGCTGTACCACTGTGTGCAAGGCGCCTGGCGAGACACCGTTTACCTCGTTAGCAATTGCTGAGCTGGCTCACCGGGCCGGAATTCCCAAGGGTGTTGTCAACATTGTTACGACTCTGAACAACACACCCGAAGTCGGCGAGAGCTTAACTACGCACCCTACCGTCGCCAAAGTCTCCTTCACCGGATCTACGGGTGTCGGCAAACTCCTCATGGCGCAGGCATCCTCCACTCTGAAGGTGTTGTCAATGGAACTAGGAGGCAACGCGCCATTCATCGTATTTGACGACGCCGACGTCGACGCAGCCGTGGCGGGTGCTATTGCTTCCAAATTCCGCTCTTCTGGCCAGACCTGTGTGTGTGCCAACCGGATATACGTACAGAAAGGCATCTACGACGAATTTGCCAAGAAGTTCGCTGAGAAGGTCAAGGGCTTCAAGGTTGGTAAGGGATTCGATGAAGGTGTCACCCACGGGCCACTCATCCACGACCGCGCGATCTCCAAGGTCGACGCTCACATCCGGGATGCCGAGAAGAAGGGCGGCAAGGTGGTCGTCGGAGGCCAAGCAATGCCCGATATGGGATCCAACTTCTACCAGCCTACGGTCATCACGGGAATGACGAAGGACATGGCCATCGCCTATGAGGAGACGTTTGGTCCTGTGGCTGGGTTATTTGCCTTTGAGAACGAAAAGGAAGTCGTCGACCTCGCAAATGCGGCCGAGGTCGGTCTCGCTGGCTACTTCTTCTCCCGGGATCTGGAGCGGATTACGCGCGTGGCCGAGGCTCTTGAGGTGGGCATGGTTGGAGTCAACACAGGGCTGATTTCCGACCCAGCGGCGCCGTTCGGTGGTGTGAAGCAGTCTGGATTCGGAAGGGAAGGGTCCAAATACGGCATTGAAGAGTACCAGAACATCAAGATGATTACCTACGGTGGAATGGGCAAATCGTTACAGGGGGCTTGAACATAATGTCTACAACGATTGAAACGGGACTAAAAAGCACAATGAAGCGCGATATAGCACGGGGTCGATAGCACCAAGTACTATCACGTTACGCTGCAATGCTGTATATAGAACTTCAAGTCAGGCCGAGCAATAGCATGTCTTTCAGTACAAATTTCTACAACCTCAGAACCTCATAGAGCTTGGTGTACGGTGAAAGAACATTTGATAGCTTTATCGTACTGCTACTGACATCTCTCCACTGAAAGCATCAAGTTTTGGGGGGGGTTGCTAGTACATGAAATCGCCTAGCCCCTAAGCCCCGGCAGCGGAATGGTATTCGCATACTTGCATATCTTATCACCCCTGCAGGGCCCGAAATTTCCTCGAGCTCCTGACCCTAAACTGCCATATGCTGTTTGGGAGCTGTATGCTTAACACCTTGAACATCAACACACACCAATTGCTGCCGTCATGATCCGGTATCCGCTACGCACGGCGGCAGCTGCCGGGCGCACACGAGCAGATATCAACCGAGTCACCGACGGCATCGCCGCCTCTCTCCGCAGCTTCTCCGTCGCCCAACGCCTGCAAAAGGACGATGAACGAAACGATCGACAAGTCCAGTCCGGGCGGCAGCGCGCCGCTGCCGCGTTCGACGAGCTGATGAGCAACTACGACTCCCCCAGACCCGGACCGACGTCGACCTCCACACCCGGCAGCGGGCCTACTTCCCAAGCCGCGCCCGCACGCGGAGGCATAATAACGGGGGCCCCGTTGCGCAGCCGCGGTGGCTTTCGAGGCGGCCTGAACATCATTCGCGATGGATTCCGCGGTCGTGGTGGCGCACCAGGAGGAGGTGGACTCGCACGCGGCGGAGGGGAGTTCTCACGCGGGCGAGGCCGCGGTCAAGGTGAATTTCGAGGGCGAGGCCGAGGCCGAGGCCAGGGTGGCGCCATGGGACGCGGTCGCGACGACAGACCGCGGCGCGGACGTGGTGGCGGCCGTGGTGGCCGAGGTGGAAAAGGCTCCGGCTACCTACGCAAGGAGGATGAGGAGGAAGAAGAAGTCGATTTATCACCTCAACAACGCTTGGAGATGGCGAAGTTCGAGAAATATCTTCAGAAAATGACAGAAAATCCAGACACTGTGGACAAGATTCCTGGGGAGTATGGCGTAACGATGGATTTTGACCCGAGCGTCAGCGTCGACACCTTGAATGGGTACGGACCCGCAGTACCAGTCTCTGGCAGCCGCTTTGCAGCGTCGGAGACCGTGGTGCGCGCCGCTAGGGTGCTGGGTGGCGGCCAGCCATATGAGGAGACCAACGTATTCCTTCCGGACGACATCCACAAGATGTACAAGCAGGGCGAGGGTGTCTTCTGTCCAACGCCCGACGCGAGAGAGTGGACTGGACGGGCGATCAAGACGAAGCTGGAAAGTCCTGACGAGGCGACTAAGACGGCAATTCTGGAGGACACGCTGCTGGGCAAGTACGACGGTCCTAAGTTTGCAGAGAAACCGCTGGACATTATACAGAACTACGTCAAGCGCGATGGCACATGGAATGCGGATGCCAGTCGACGAATCCAGGAGAAGGTCAGGAGTCTGCTGCCCGGTGGCGGTGGAAAGCCTATGAACAGCGCTCCCAAAGAAAAGGGCGCAAAGGCGTAAATTCCCTCCTTCTCATAGCGTTGTACCATCAGCTTGTTAAGACACGTAGCATGCACCATGGGATGGACAGAGGCGGTCGTGGGGTTTATCAGATTCTATCTCCAGACTCTTGTACATTACCATGCCCTGTAACAAAAACTCAATCTAGTGTACATATACATTATTCGCATAAGGTATCCGAATCCATGCCGTGTACCATGCATCGCTTTTCAACATTGTGTTTGCGCCAGACTGAAGAAATAAACCCCATTGGCAAGCATCCTCAAGTATCAAGGTGGCACGCAGAGCAACTAAACCCCTTTCTATTTGGCCCCGACTCCCTTGAGCGCTTGCTTTTCCTCAGTATCAATAGTCGTCATCTCCGCCTTGATGACCTTCTCAAGCTCCTTATCCGCCGTCTTCTTCGCATCAGGCCCCAGCACGCCCTCCTTCTTCCACGTCGTATGCTGCTGTTCCCGCTTCCGCCGTACATCGCGCACGCGGTCCCGCCAGTCGTTGCACGCCGCCTTGGCCTTCTTCAGCACGTCCTCGGGCCTCTCGGGCTCGACCTTGAGCAGGAGCTCGAGCTCGTTGTCGGGTGCGCGCTGCGGCTGCTGGTTGAACTCGGGCGAGGCCTGGACCGCGCTCATGACGGGCTTGATGTAGTCCTCCTCGTGCACCAGCAGGCTGATGGTGCGGCCGCCGCGCGGGATCACCTGCGCCAGCTCCCGGAGAGGGAACGTCTGGGGGCTCTTGCGGTCCGTCTGCACGCGCAGGTGGCCGATGGCGTCCTCGGTGAAGCGGCCGCCCGACCGCAGCTGCTTGAGCCCCGTGCGGAAGTGCTCGGCGTGCCCCGCGAGGCGCGAGCGCACGTCGGCGAAGGCGAGGGGTTCCTCGGGGTCCGGGGCGGGATGCTTGGGGCGGGAGGAGCTTTCGGTGTCTGCTTCTTCGGCGCGCGCGGGCGCGACCTTGCCCGGGCGCTTCTTGTGTTTCTCGCCCTTTGCGCTCTTGGCATCCTTACCCGGCCGGTCGGGCTCCCGGGACTTGTTGACCCTGGGGGTGTCATGGATGTATCGCAGAGCGCTGGGCGGGAGCACGCCGGGGAGGAGTTTGGGTCGGCATAGGGTGCTCAGCCTGCTGGAGCTACTATGGGATATGGCAACACTGAGGGTCGTCCGAGGGAGCTCGCAGCTGTGAATTCTTGTCAGTCAGGTGCTTGACGGGTCAATTGGGAAGACTGACCCTCTCCCTAGCTCGGGGTATGCGACTGCATGTCGCAGTATCGTACGGGTCGTCACGGATCGCATGATAGCTCCTGTCTTGAGGTGCAGCTTTTGGAGCTCGAGATGCCACCTGGAAGAGTTTGACAATGACGGTGGTGTTCGGGGTCCAGAGACCCACTTTCTGGATCGTGCAGGAGGTGACAGGCCTCTCTAACATCCCAGACCACTGCATTGTTCGCAGCACTGATACTTGGAAACCATACTCATAGGGAGGCGAACTTGTTAATTATTCCAACAAACTAGCGCTTCAGGAGTCTGCTTCATTGCCAATAGCAGTACCCCTGTGGCATGATCACGCATCATGTTGTTATTGGTACTTTGGTTGAAACAAGAGCAGGATATTGCTGCATTCAGGATCAGGATGTTCCCAAGACAATATATGGTGGTCTGGCCGACTGTGAGAGGCTTGATGGTGTCGGATTTAGCCTTGATATAATTGAAACGATCCCGTGCGGTTCTGGACCAACCAGTACTCACCATAGCACCATCATCATGATCCCGGTGATTATAATAGCTGCCTGAGTGCCCAGGATTTGACGGTCGTCATTATATGACCATTCTGAGCGACGCCAAGACATTTTTCGTCCATCACACCATTGCAAGATATAGCCAGATGATGGACCACACCGTCGATATCATCGTCACAGCCAACCAACACCTTCGGTGGCCGAAATGATGCTAGGATCGGGAGGTAAGGCGTGGTCTATGGACGTTTGAGTACCTCAGGCAACTAATCCGGCAAACGCTGAGCGGTACCATGCTCCTGGATTGAAACCAGCAGCGCAAGCTTGTCGTGTGCCAGTGGGCTTGTTCCATCGGAAAAATCCAGCAAAAAATGTCTGTAACAAATGCCAAAAGTTCTGCTCGTTTGTACAAACAGCGCAGTTACCTGGTATCTACTAAAATATAAGATACTGAACTTGTAAACAACTAGACGAGTGGGGCTTTCAGAATCTGGCTGCTAGCCCCATGCTGTAGCATGTATAATATATAAAAGCCTATAAGAGCTAATCCAATCATTGGTTTTCGTGGCCTAGTGGTTAGGGCGTCTGTCTTACAATACTATTGCGAGTGTGTCACACAGAAGATCGCCGGTTCGAACCCGGCCGAAAACATTTTTGAATTTTGGCTTTTTTTTCCTGCACTGGCTTTGTCCAAAAAATGCTTTTTTCCTTTATCCCGAGAGGCTCATCATCATACCGCTATGGCCGTACGGGCACTGGCCGGAGCCCGGTGCACATAAAACCCTCGCTCCTTTAGTTCCTGTCGACCACCACCACCACCCCGTAATTACAAGTAAGGTACGCGACTGTACCCGACCATCATCTTAACTGTGACATTCCTCGGAAATACAGGATCGCGCTGGAGTACAACGTACCGATATATATCACATAGGTTTTTATTGTCTTGGTTATATAGCTGATTATATTTTTATACACTGCTGCCTTAAAAGTAGCTTGTTTAACAAGACTTTGTTCTACATGCTACAGCATCGTATCACATGAATTTGTTTTCCGAGCTCTTATTATGCATATTTTAAAGTATACCAGGTTTCAGTAATGTGGTCATTGCCTAAGTGTCTCAGTTGCAGGATTCCAAGTATCAAGGCAGTTGAGTACTTTGCGGCAATTTGTGCAGCAATTGGGCCTCCCCTCACATTTGGTCAACTTCCAGCTTTTCTGCCCTGTGAGAGAGCGACAGAAATCTCGTCTTCGTCGAGGGGGTTCATTGAGCAATGCACCGTCCATCTTTTTATAGGGACTGAAGGCCAACCACGTCTCAGCCTTGGATATCAGGTCTGCCTTTTCATCGTATGTTATTTTCTAGGAGAGAAGCTCGTCTCATCAGAGTGTGTAAGATACTACGCCATTGTATGGTCTGCTCCAGATGGTCAGGCTCGAGGTACCCCATAGATACGACAGTGTGTTTAAATGGACAACGTTTCAACACTATGCTTCGGCGAGGTCACCAAATGAGACAATGGCTCTTTTGAATGAAGCCAAACAAGATATGTTCGAGTGGAGGAAAGTTCCCGAATCCCTCACCATTTAACTGCCAATAAGTCTCTCACTGGTGCGTCAGCAGCGGATGACTGCGAACTGAAGTTGCAGGAGGGTGCAGGGGATACAAGCGTGGTGATATTGATTGATCGTTATTCCAGTAGCCACCAGTTGATGGTAACTAGAAGCTGCATCAGTAACTACAGGATTAGTTTTACTCATGCCAGAAGAGCGCATAACGTGATAATCTTTGCGACGATGCAGATAAGCAAACTTGACCATAGAAACGCTCAGTATTTACTTGATTATATGGTGTGTGTGGGAAAAAAGCGGAAAAGTATTTATTGGCGAGATTGATCTCCCTCTAAGTAAATCAATGCTGATGTTCTATAGAACTTTCATATTATACAATATTCCCAATATACCAATTTCAACAAGTCCTCGCGACTGTCTCGGCTACCCCGGTTCTACTTATCGCTCGTAACCATCTCTCGTGGCAAGCTGGGCAGGAGGTAGATACGCCACAACGGCTCTGTCGATGCTTCTTAGCAGCTTCTGGAGTTCAGATGCCGACTTAATTGGGTTTTTCTTTTTGAACTCTGCCAGTGTAAGGCCTTCTAGACGGATTAAAGGTTTTGGCCCAGCCTGCTTGGTTTGCAGAAGCTTCTCGAAAGCATCGAATGCGCACGTCGCCAGATGCTGGAAGGTGGACGCACCAGATGCGTACCTGAACTCCTGAGAGATGCGTCTTGCCAGGGGAGCAAGCTGGAGCCTGGGAGCATGGGCCAGAGCGGCGGAGAACCACAGGGTATATATGGCGGTGATATCCCATTCGCAGACCTCGGGGCCGCCGCTCACGAGCCGCCTGAATAGTTGACTGAAGACTAGTACGAGGTCTGCCTGTGTGAGGAGCTCAGGGTCGCCACACTGACGGATAGCGGTGATGGCTTCGTAGACACCGTTCTCGTCCGATAATTGGCATTTGGTACAAATGTGCTCGACAGTGCTTGGTGCGAGAGGCCTCTTCTTTGCTTCTGCGGCATATTGCTGAGTGTAAAATTGTAGCAGAATTATGGGAAGTGGTAGACAGTTGCCTGTGCAGCCACAGGAGAACTTCCAATCATCTGGCAAGGATGTCATGGTAATGCCTGTGAGACTTTAATAAACTGCCTCGAGTAATCTATGGCTAGGTGAAAGGCGTTCGACGTACGTGATCTCGCTGTACCAGTCTGACTTGAAGAAGAGGCCAGAACGATGCTGCCAGAGAAGCTTTGAGGGAATGCATGCGACAACTAGGGTTCTTCGTTGGAAGTAAACAATGGATCTCAAAGGTCCAAAAACGCTCCTTGGAAGGTCTTTGTAAGGCGATGAATATTGATAGCTGCACAAAGACTCTTAGTTTGTTGCGATGGCGGAATGAGGGTTATCTCAAGGAGAGATATATGCACAGACATCATCATGAAGCTTAGACAAAGTCTGAGGGCTTGATGACTTGGCACAAGTAACTTTCACATGAGTTTCACATGTACACATATGACTGTCCACAGTCTCCCAATACAATGATGCCTTAGAGCTTAAGTCAATAAGACCCCGTCGCATCCACTATAGCATTGTATCACAACATCGAGGCTGGACTGGACTGGACTGGATAAAAATTCATGAAAATTGCATAAACGAGGTGAACCAGAGTCGTCACTTGTGATGGCAACATCAGGAAGTATTTGATTGGGAGATGAACTTGATGAAACCCCAATGATGCCCAATTCTCTGTTAGATCATGTCTATGCTACGTAGCAAGTGAGTTTCTCTTCCCCAGCAGTGGGCCATATCCTGATGCCAAACTTTTCCCAACCAACGATCTCCAGCGCCGTATACGAGGTATCTCTCGTAGCGTATAAGTCCAAAATTCCATTCACAGTACACTGAACACTAATATCACACTCAATGCAACGACCGCTCCTTCCGGTAGTTATCTGCAATGAGGAAGGCCATCTCGAGAGCCTGCTTCTCGTTCAACCTCGGGTCACAGAATGACGTGTAGTTGGTTGACAAGTCATCTTCTTCCAGACCGACGCTGCCGCCCAAGCATTCCGTGACAGCATCTCCGGTCATCTCCAGGTGGAGACCGCCGAGGTAACTGCCTTCTTCCTTGTGAACCCGAATTGTCTCCTTCAGCTCATCGAAGACGTCGTCAAATTTTCGTGTCTTGATGCCGTTTCCGACTGATCGAGTGTTTCCGTGCATGGGATCGCATTGCCAGATGACGCAACCGGCGTACTCACTGCTCTCCACAGCCCGGATGTGACCCGGAAGAAGGTAGCTGACCTTACCAGCACCATAACGGGTGATCAGAGTGATCTTGCCAACTTCGCGGTTAGGGTTCAACGTTCTCAAAAGTTGAAGGAGGTCAGAGACCGGCGTGGTTGGGCCGACCTTGATGCCGATGGGGTTAGCGATGCCCCTGAAGAACTCGACGTGCGCACCGTCGATCTGACGCGTCCGGTCACCAATCCAGATGAAGTGAGCGGAAGTGTTGTAGTACTCCTTTCGCTTGGATCCAACTCCATTTCCGTTAGTGATGGAAAGTAGGGGTCCCTCTGTGGTGACGGGGGCGGGTGGGCAGTCCATCAACCTCGTCAGAGCCTCTTCGTATTCGAGAAGCAAGCCTTCGTGGCTTGTGTACAGGTCCACTGTGTCAAGCTTGGAGCTACGGTCGGCGCCAATGGTGTGCATGAAACGGATCATGTCCTGGAGGAACTGTACTGCCTCGGTGTACTTCGACTTCAGAGCTGGGTCTCTCACATGACCCAAGCTCCAGTTCAGAGGTCTGTGCAAGTCTGCAATGCCGGCCGCTAGTGACGATCGGACATAGTTGAGTGTTGCTGACGAGTGGTTGTATGCCCTGTAATTCATTCACGTAAGTCTCTAGTAAATGGCTGAGGATCCATCCCCATTGTACGACTTGAAGATGGAGAACTTACTTGACGAGTCTCTGAGGATCTAATTCACGATCCTCGAGCTTGTATCCGTTGAGAATATCACCACGGTACGAAGGAACTTCCTTGCCATCTACCTTCTCAGTCGGGCTTGACCTCGGCTTGGCATATTGACCAGCCATTCGGCCAATTCTCACAACCCTCTTATCAGCACCCCAGATCAAAACCAAACTCATCTGAAGGAGGAGTTTAATCTTTGACTCTATGGCATCTTGGCGGCAATAGTCGAAGAGCTCGGCGCAATCGCCACCCTGCAGGAGAAAGGCCTCTCCACGAGCAACTTCTCGGAGGTTCGATTTGAGCTTCTCAATTTCATGAGGATGAACGATTGGTGGTAATGTGCTGAGCTCGGTTGTAGCCTTGTCCAAGGCACTCTGGTCGGGATATTCAGGGCACTGCTTGATGGGCTTGGACCTCCAAGATGAGGGAGACCAATCTGAAGGACGCTTCATCGTGCTCTTGGGTGATGATGCTGTACCGTTCTGAGCAGCGGTAGCAGAAGTAGGGACTGGTTCCGCAGAGGGAGACATGATAGCGGCTTGGCCTATTGGACCTCGAAGAGGTTTATATGATAGGAAACGTATTCGAGGTGAAGTTACTCGGTAGAGCCAAGACAACTCCGACAGCGGGATGATGGTTGGGCTGGGTGACTGAGTGATGGACGCAAGTAATAATGATCAGGAGATGAAATGATGAGAGCCAGACCGCTATTTCAATGAGAGTCTGGAAGTGTGCAGTGAATATGAGTCAGATGAAGCACATTGCAAGGGCGAGTATATGACATCGCCCGATTTCCCAAAGGAGCAATGAGATGGGATTCTAAGCGGCAGGCGGATGCAGCGTCTGATCCTCCGCCCAGAGTGAAAGCCAGGGCTGTCTATAGGCTCGTCCAGGGCAGCAACAGGGCTCTTTGCCGGCGCTCGTTCCAGCGACTTGTGCTGTGCGATAACTGTGGCTGGCATGTACTGTTAGAGCTCAGCCGCACCGCCACAATGCCTGGGCTACCCGCGGAAACGGCCCATTGACTGCACTTTTAGAGGTACCTTGTTTGCCCCCGCCCGCTGCTATCAGGTTATCAACTGTAGCGTGAACATTTAATCGCATAAGGCAGGTAGGTAC